CGGTGGGGCGGATGCGTTTTGCGACGGCGGCGACGGTGGCGGGGGTGAGATATAGTAGGAGTATGTGAGGGAGCGCGAGGTTGTGAAGGTCTTTTGCATGAGGGGGTCCATCTTCGCTTTTGCTTCGCCGTTGCTGCTTCGTTATTTATACTATCTGTTTATAGAGCTGGCGTAATGGAAATCGAGGTAGAGTTGGATTTGTAGCACAGACTAGGTGAACGCCTATGCCTTCTTGACAGCGAAGGTGTTTGTGCATTTATTTATACCCCCTCCATGATGCGAGGGTTCAGGAGTAGCGGGGCCCCAATGAAACAACCGTCCCTTACGGTGCATTTCTGCCTCCACCCATGGTTTGACTCAGCTCGCCCTCTCCGCGGGGTGATCGCCACCATGCTAAGAGCCAGCGTTGTTGTCTAGCCCAAAAATAACCAGGACAATGGACAATGCCCCGGGCGATGGTAAGAACGAACTCAAGATGCAATGTCTCCGCCCGCCGCTAACATCTACTATCCATACAGTCTCATTCCTCCATGCTCTATATACCCCGCCACCTCCTCACCCTCGCATCTCCGATTCAATGTCTCCCCGCACCGCCCAATCGACAACCAATCGACAACCGTCCGACAATCACCTTACGAGATAAAGCAATGTGCATGGTATCCGCGAAACTCCCCTGACATCGCTGCAGTTGCATATGAGAAATAATGTACGGCGGGGTGGGGGGGGGGGGGGGTTAGCAAAGGCATGCAAGGCGACGGCGATTAGTCGCAAGGTCTTATCTCCGCAGTATAGTACGATCTAGCCAGCTGGCCCATGGCCGTTTTGGAGTCTACCATGGTGATCAGCTATTCAGGTTATCGAGTCGGTGACTATTCGCGAGAGGGAGGAAGGGCGGTCTGAATTATGTACTATGTGTGGACTCTGCCTGTGAAGCAGAGGGCTAAAGGGAGACTCACTTAAATAATATCATCTTCATTAGCTAGCAATATTATTCTTTTTGCTTCGAAAGCCAGCAGTCGATATGTATGGGTCAAATTGTCTTCAATAGAGGCTGACAACGCTAGGCTAACGGCCGTAGGCGAACAGGTGAAGCTTTTATCTACTATTTTTTCCATTACTTGGTATATCTCTCCGAAGGAGTCACAGCTGCTGACCCCGTCTGAGAGCTGGAGAAAAAGAGGGGAAGAGAAGCAGAGCTGAAAACTGAATCCTAGTGATTGTGTCAGTTTAATTCCTGTCAAAGCAATCATTGACCAATCTGGTGGCTCTTTCTTCCTCCTCGCTTTCTTTTACTCTCCTTTGGTGCGTGTTTAGTGCTTTTCTAGTCTCCGTTGGATCTGCAAACGCAGAATTCAGTTGGTTATTCTTCTTGCAGATGGTCTGATATATTTTTTTTCTGATAAGAGATTGTTGGAAGGGTAGAATGTCCGAATATTGACCCAAATACCGAATATCGAATGAATAATGAATTAACTAAAGATCGCTCTGATAATTACATGATCAAAATGCAGTGTTTGTAAGAGGTGACGTGCGATTATGCGAGCAGGGCAGGGCTGGATTCGGGTTTACAAAATACAGGAGGTTAGTTGGTTATACGAAAGTCTCCGCTCTGAGAGACTTAGCGTCATCAGATAACGTTTGCCCATTCTTATCAGATCTCCCCCTCACCCAGTCACTCACTCACTCACTCATTCCTCCTTCATTTCTCCTGCTGCTCGATACCAGCAATCATGTTGCCCAACTAGAAATCCAGGCGCCCTTTCATCCAAGTCAAATGTCCCAAATACAAATACCCGCAAACACCACGCGATGCTCCCCGCTCGCGTTAAACCCCTGCACAGCCATGACCTCCCCGCAACCACCGCTATCTTGACCGTCGAAGATGCCCAGACATGCTCTCCCGCCTCCGCTGACGACGCTGAGGACATTCTCACAAGCTTTCTCCCACACCTCTACCCCGACGAAGCGCCATTGTGCCTCGGGGACCCAGGCAAAACGGTTCTGTATACCTCAGGCGCGTGGGGCGATGTGACCGTTATGGTTCCTGGTTATCCCAAGGGAAGTGAGGAGGAGGTGGTGGTGGAGGAGGAAAGACCCGATATGGAAGAAGGCGTTGAGGGAGGAAGACGACTCTTTGCGCATTATTTGTGGGGTGGTGGGCTAGTTGTTGCGGACGGGATAGAGCGTGCGGTGAGGCATCTGGCTGGAGATGGTGCTGGCGAGGAGAAGGATTTGCTCTGGAGTGTGAAGGGGGAAAAGGTTTTGGAGCTTGGTGCAGGTAAGTTATGTTTGAATTTGAATTTTATTTTATTTCATTTTTCCCTTGGTGTAAATCTCTGTTCTTAGGGCTTTCAGGGGGAGGTAAATGCCTATCTTCATTCGAATTATGTTTTTTCTTCCATTTAATTCATCATTTTTGGATCCCATTATCCCATTCTGCTGCTCTGTTGGAATAACACCAGGTTTATATATATATATATATATATATATGCTATGTATAAATTTACTTTTATTCCATGTTCGCTTTTTCCATATGTGATACAATGATAGTAATATTGGAAAAGAGCAGCGGAAACTTCCATATTCCATATTCAAATCCCACCCCCTTTTCCCTTTCCCCTTTCCCCAGATTTATCCCAAATGAATTCCAATTCTTCACAAAACCCCTAACTGAAAAGCCAGCATGCTCAATGCAATACTAGGTGCCGCCCTCCCGTCACTCATAAGCGCTCTCGCCGGTGCCGCCCAAGTCACCATAACAGACCACCCCTCATCTCCCGCCCTCTACGGTACCATCCAAGCAAACATCGCCAATAATATCCCCTTACACCTGCAGTCCAGGATATTCGTGCAATCGCACGAATGGGGCGTGTTAGGTTCTGATGCAGTATCTTCCCAGGAAAGCAGAACCCAGAACCCAGAGACACAGGCTGCTTCAATATCCGCTGTAGAGAACCAAGGGTCGTACACCCGGATAATTGCGGCGGATTGTCTATGGATGAGAGATCAACATGAGAATCTGATACGGAGCCTATTGTGGTTTCTTGCGCCACCATCACCGCCTTCACCGCCTTCGTTGCCAGATGGAGATGGAAGCAATGGAGCAGCTCGCGGAGGAGTAGCTTGGGTGGTTGCCGGATTCCATACTGGAAGGGAGATTGTTGCATCATTCTTTGAGACGGCAGTGGCCATGGGATTGCTTGTGGAGCAGATATGGGAACGAGACGTCAATGCCACCAGTGAGGAGGGAGTGGTTACGAGGGAGTGGATGCCTGTACGCCCAGGAGAGGGTCCAGAGAATAGGGCGAGATGGTGTGTTGTCGCGTTCTTGAGGAAGGGTTTAAATAGCTAGTGCCTTGAGTCTTGAATATAAAACACATTTCATGGCCTCTACATGATGGTAATATTTCGATTTTATGTCAAGAGCCGTACAGTATCATAGATCTGCTCATGAATTTCATGTCCGTATCGTTCATGTTTATTTATCCTCTGTTTCCACAACGCAACATCCCGCAGGCGTTGAAATCCTTCTGAGAAACCCGCCAATGTCAGCTCCCGCTCACCCTTCTAAAGCAAACCGTACACACTCCCTGGCCCTCCTGGCCCCCAAAACGGAACTTAGGATACTCAACCCGGTCCCATACCACCAGCCTATCCCCGCCTTCGTTCTCTCCCGCCTCCCTCCTAGTGAACCACTTAATCAACTCCTCCTCGGTCCAATTACAACTCGTCACAACCAAAAACCCCTCCCTTCGTACCAACCCCCTCACGATCTCCGGATACCGCTCACACATCCTCTGCACCACCCGGGACTCTTTCGTGTCCACATTCTCCTCCTCCCCCCTTTTCTCCCCCGGTCCCCCCACCGTACGCACATCCACCGCTATCTCCTCTGCAGAGAGCGAAATGGCATCGAACGTCCCCTTGTCCAGGACGATGTCGAATCCACCCCGCGCGACAGGGAACCAATCTAACTCCTCCACAGCCCGCTTGTCAAAGACGTCCCACACCTCGAAGCGGATAGTAGATGTAGCAGTTGTAGTAGTATCCGCCCCGATCCTGTCCCCGCCCCCGTACCCGTCTCCTTCCCCGTCCCTACCCCGCCCGGCAGAGCCACGGTGTAACCGCCTCGCCAACTCGATGCTCTTGGGCGAATAATCAACTCCGACCATCTGGCCGCCAGTGAAGCCTCCCTCGTCGCGGAGGAGGGCGAGCATGCTGCCATTGCCTGTTCCGAGGTCGAGGATGGTGGGTTGCGGTTGCGGTTGCGGTTGCGGTTGCGTATTATTATTCTTGTTGCCATCATTATGAGTACTACAGGGGGCTAGCGGGAAAGATTCGGAGGTGAGGAATCTCAAGACCTTTTCGGGGGCGTTGTGTTCCGCGAACCAGGATGTACCGGGGTCGCTGTCGTCGTCGTCGTCTTCTCCATCTTCACCTCCATCTTCATCGCTGTCATTACCTTCGTCACATTCTCCCTCTCTTTCTTCGTCTTCTTCTTCTTCTTCTTCTTTGGCTCTTCCGTTGGCGTCCCCGTCTCCGTCTCGGTTACCGTACTTGCGCCCCGCACGTCGCTTCCAGGAGAGGTGGGATAGAGAGTTCTCGTAAAATGATTCCCAGCTATGTCCGTGTTACAAAGGAATTGCAATTCATGTCAGCGACTGTTCTCTCGCTGCCTGGTAGGAAAACTTCCACTGCGCCAGCATTATAGGCGATTTCGAGGGGAGAAAGGGCTTGGGTCTTGATGGCAGAAACCCAACCCCCTCCCAAAAAAAAAAAAAAAAAAAAAAAAAAAAAAAGTGAAATGAAAATCCGCGCCTACTTACTATTCCCTCGTGCCCAATTGGCTTGGTTCCAGGTGTGGTGGATGATCATCAACACCTCCTGTTTGAGCTGGAACTGATATCATGTTATGTGATTGTTGAGACGGGGATATTTTCGCAAGCAACGGGATTTTTCTCGCCATACTTCGTTGACCCCACCAACAATCAATCGACGGCAGCTTTTAGGTTTCGGGGTTGGCAGTTCTCGGAGTGGCTTGAGTGGGGCTTTTAGCTATTTCTTGGTTAAAGTGCAGGCGATGGCGGCCCTATCGGACGCTGTTGGGTTAGCCATGGCTAAGGCTCACAAGCCAACTACATAGTATACACAGTTAGTCTAGGGGCTTCATTTCTGAAAATCAACCCTCTTAAAATATACATATTTAGAAGGAGATTTCAAATTACCACATATAAATTCAAGTTCTTATTGAACTGATGTGTGGCTAAGACAACCATTATTCTTTATTCCCTCCACAGTGCAGAATCAGATAATCATTCTGCCTAAGACCCCTGACTGGCCTGGGATAGAAAGATAGACTGCCCAGGATTATGGCTACCATGCTACTCTCGTTGCAAATCACAAACTTGCTGCTCCCTAAGCACATTTGAGATATGAGAGAAAAGTGGATCGATGACTCATGCTCAATCCAAACCGATCCTTGACCATGAATGCTTTGAAAGGTGGGCCAACCGTTACGGAGGCCGGAGCTATTCTGCAGACTGGTTATAAAATACCTACTTTTACCCTTCGTCAAAATCAGTGATACCAAGTTAGAAATCTGCATATGAACCTCTTTAACCTCTCCTTTTTCCAACAATACCAGTAACTAGAGCATGGCGGCAGACACCGGGAACGAAGCCAGCTCCCGGCCCCGAATACGCGACCTCCTCCCCACCCTCAAAATCGGCCGGCACCCCGCGGGGCCCCTAAACTCCCTAACGGACGTCCCCGGCGTGCTCGTACACACGGAATCCATCAAGCTCCACCCCTCCACAAGCCCCGGCATCCGCCACCCCATAAACACAGGCGTTACAACCATCCTCCCCCGCCGCGACTGGTTCGACTGGGCCTGCTACGCGGGGTACTTCCGCTTCAATGGCTCCGGTGAAATGACCGGCTCGCACTGGCTGGACGAAACGGGTCTGCTCAACTCGCCCATCATCATCACCAACTCCTTCTCCGTGGGTGCGTGTTACAGCGGCGTCTACGAGTATGCGGTTCGTGAGTATGCTAATAAGCGGACCGGGCTGGTGGATTGGTTTCTCCTGCCGGTCATCGCGGAGACGTGCGATTCTCACCTGAACGATATTGGGGCTATGGCTGTTACGCCGGAGATGGTGGTCAAGGGGATTGAGCGGGCCCGGGGTGGGGAGAGAGTTCCCGAGGGGAATACTGGGGGTGGGACGGGGATGTGTTGCCATGGCTACAAGGGGGGTACGGGGAGTGCGAGTCGAGTTATCGAAGGGAAGGAGTTTGGGGTTGGGGTGCAGTACACAGTTGCTGCGCTCGTACAGGCGAATTATGGGAAGAAGCGCGACTTGCGGATCGGCGGAGTGCCGCTTGGGAGGATCATTGAGGAGCGGGAGGCAGAGGCGGCTATATCAGCGGGCTCACACGAGGCTGCAAAGGAGGAAGAAGAGAGAAAAAGCCCGATGAAAGATGGTAGCATCATTGTCGTCCTCGCCACGGATGCGCCCCTACATCCCACACAGCTCCAACGCCTAGCCAAGCGAGCGACAGTGGGTCTGTCGCGCGTGGGCGGTTGGGGAGCCAATAGCTCTGGAGACATCTTCATCGCCTTCAGCACGGCAGAGAAGATTGCTCGTGACCCTTCTACGTCCAGCTGGGCGGTCGCTGTGGAGCAAAAAGTGAGCGTTGTACAAGATGTGTCTATCAATGCGCTCTTTGAGGGAGCGGCGGATGCGACGGAGGAGGCGATCTATAATGCGCTGGTGGGCGCGGAGGATATGGAGGGGCCTGGGGAGATGAAAGTTAAGGCGTTGGATCATGAAGTGCTCAGGGAAGTTGTGGGGAAGTATCTTTAGAAGATTAATCAACTCCCTGTGCCGAATGGACTGTAGTTCATCCAATTTACGAATGTACTCTACATGTAGCGAGCAGCGCGACCCCTCTTAAAATATCTCCCCGTCCTCCCCTCCCCCTTTTTTGTCCCTTTCTCCCACTGTCGCTCTCCATTGTCCATGCGTAGACCTAGTTGAAATCACACAGAACATTCAATTCATAAGAGATGGCTTGATTTCAAAACCCCCTTCTTTGAACCTACCCCGAAACCTGTTTCACGCTCCTCCTCCTCCTCCTCCTCCTCCTCCTCCTCCTCCTCCATACCCCTGAAACGAGACGAGGCCTGAAACCTCCTCATTCGATTCTTGTGCCTCTCAATGAAACAAAGGATTATCATGAAACTGTAAACGTATAAAAAAATAACGCACAAACGCACAATGAATATTTACAGTTTCATCATATACTGGAATAAGCTTAACCCCCTTCCAGTTAACTAGTAGCATCTTCCAAAAAAACCACTCGTTAGTACTTGCAGATATGCAACCTAGCTAGCTCTTTAATTCTCATCGTCATATTTTCCCCGAATCGACTTTTATTCCGGGAAAATGAAAGATAAATGGAAAACTAAAATCAAGAAAGGAGAAAGCTATTGTAGAAAGGAGGGAGAAAGAAAGGAAAAAGAAACAAAAGGAGTAAGGTCTTGAGATGAAACATTTGGAAAAATGAAAAGTGGCAGGAAGTAGTAGATGTGAATGGAGCAAGAGAAGAATTACAATTATCACATCACAAAGACACAGGTCACTCACTATACAAAGAATATATGCCTTTGAATTCAGTTATAATAGCTGCGATATCTCAGTAGTGATTCACTTTTTATCTTCATCTAGTCATAGTCATCTCATTTCATCTCATTTGATTCCGACAGGCAAAGCTTTTCTTTTCCTTTCCTTCCCTACCCTTTCCTCTTTTATTTTAATAAAAAGCAAGAAGAAAAGAAATCAAGAGTGAAATATCAGGGATATTCATTTATTCTCACTGCAACAAAATCAAAGAAAAAATGAGGACAAGACAAGGAAAAACCCAAATGAGAGAACAAGGATGATAACGAAATTCGCTGCAAAACATACCACAGACATGCAAAATATAGTGAGTAGAAGGACAGGGGAAAAGACCAAAAAATTCGTTCATCCCGCACCCATCAGCCAAAATTATATAATAATAATTTATGGATTCCCTCATTATATATGTATATATATATATATATATATATTCCCCGGCGGAAACAAAAGAAATGACCAAGCGAGTCCCAGATGGTTGTATCAAATGATCCAGAAAGAGAGACAAACACAGAAAAATTCCCTCCAAAAAACAAAAAAAAAAAACGCCATTCCTCGCTTTGCAGGCATCGTTTCCATTGCCCAACAGAAATTATCGCGAAAAAAAGAAAGAAACAGAAAATTACAAAATAAAAAATGAATGGAGGCGAAAAGGTAATAACCAAGAGGGGTGAGGATTACCGCTATTTCTCTACCCCATCTTCCCCATGTCCATCCATTTTTCTTTTACAGAACTAACAAGATAGCAACCACACAAATTCAAGGAAAAAATACAAACGAAAAATCAGGTATCAAAGAAATTCATCAATATTTCTCATAATGACCCGCTCCCGCCGTTGCTGTGGGGGCGATCGCGGGTCCGCTGCACCAGGTGGCACCGGGGGACATGCGCGGACGACGGAGGATATAGACTCTATCGACATACGATTGCCATTACCGCTATTAGTTGTATTGGTATCGATATTTTTGTCGAGACGACAGGCAAGATCACCAGCGACAGTGCGGAGGTGAGAGAATGGGGTTGTCCAGAACTCAGCAGCACGGGGCGAAAGGACGGATGGCGTTGCCGGTACGTCTTGCATGACCAAGTCCATTTGGTGGACAGCGGTACGGGATAAGGTGCGATGGGAAGGGACGGCGGAGTTGTCGTGGCGGGGACGGCGAAGGGAGTGTATTGTTTGGTATTTTTCACGGAGAGGGAGGGGACGTGGTGGAAGGTTCCGGCGCTGTTGGCTGGTTGCTGGTGACGATGATACTGTTGAGTTTGACGACGATGTTTGCGGGCTGGTCCAGTTAAAAGGGTTTGCTAACGTGGGTGCATTGGAGTATTTTGAATCGCCTACGGCTGTGTCGAACAGAGGGACTGGGGGACGGGCGGTTTTCGAGGTCGAGGAGTTACCTTGGCCTTTTGATGTGGTGCTAACTTTCGCATCTAGAGATCCATCAAACCATTCAGCCGGGGGAGATCTGGAAGGTCCCCGTTGCTGAACTCGTGTCCGGAAATCGGTAAGTTGGTAGATTAAACTCATATTGGGCCCAACCCAGCAACTTCTACCCTTTACAATGCTGTACATGGCGTTGAAATCCTTATCTGGATTTTTGTATAGGCCATATGCAATAACCAGTGATGCAGATCTGCTGACGCCAAGTTGGCAATGGATCAATACTCTCTTTCCTTGCGAAATCCTCTTATCGATAACCTCGCAAAGCGGATAAAGGTCATCGAGTATTTCTGAATTGTGATCCCACGGCACATGTATGTACTCGGGCGTAGGGGCGCGGCGCTTTGGAGTCGTGGGCGACTCCGTTCCTACAGGCTGAAATTCGAAGGCAGATTTGAAAGAAATTTCCGAAAGTGCAGTATCAGGTTCCACCACCGATTGTCGTTGCACATCGGGTAATGTAGCTTTCCATACCGAGACAACGGTATCCTGCCTTTGCTCAGCACTTATGAATGGATTTGCAACCTCCTTTGCAACATTAATAACCACGTCAAATTTTGAGGCCTCTTCACTGCTTGGCTCTAGGTAAAGATAGAGTCCGCTATCATATATTAAAATTGGTCCATCTGGATAACCTTTATCACTACCATTGCATGACTCGCGCGAAACTAGGTTATCCTCTTCCTCAACAAGCTCATGCAAGGCATCCCTGCCCGAAAAAACGTGTTGAGCTGAAGGAGATGGTCGGTCCGGTGCCACACGATCCTCCCAAGCGCCTGGCATGGGCCGTTTTGCAGACTGGAACAATGAACCTGGAAGAGCAAGAGAAGGCTTAGTTGACGTAGTTGGAGAGAGTATGGAGTTGAGAGACGGTGACGACTCGATATGCCGAAGAGCCGGTCGGGTGTTAGGAGTGGGAGGAACAGCCTCTGAAATGTTCGAAAAGGATCGGTCAAATGATGGCGTTTTTATTGTAAGATTCGGGGGTTTGCGTCGTAAACATCTAGTGTTAGACTGTATCGGAGAAGCGGGAGCTGAGACATTAGGTGTTTTTTCTCTGATTGGAGCCGTGGCTATTGTTTGGTGAGACGAGATAGTAGGTAATTTGAGCGATAAATTTTTTAAATTACGAGCTTTTCTTGTTGGAGACTCCGGCTGACGAAGGTAAGTAGAGAATGATTGGTTTGGCTTGAAACGCGACTCTGTCCTTAACTGGGCAGCCGGTCGATCGCCATTCGTAATCCGCGACATGAGTTTAAGGGATTGAAGCGGCGTAACAGAAGATGGTGATTCAGGTGAAGAGCTTGGAGAAGTGTCTTGAATGACCGGAGAATCAAAGGTGGAGATGGTGGTAGTAGGCGAAGAGTCGGTAGATTCAGACGCGATGGATAAGTTTTCGCTGCGGTAGATATTGGTAAGGCATCTGCGGAGGATTGAGAGCTGTTGAGCTAGTGCTTCGGGGATGGCTGAGACCATGCACTATCGCTGAAGGCTTGACTGGGGCGGTGGAAGTGGCTGAGGCTGATTCAGTTGATGTTGACGCCATCGAACCTCCAGCATCGAGGAGAATCTTGGGCGCTAAGCGACTTTTTTCACTTCCCTCATTGTAATAACCAGTTGATCCATCTGCAACAGTAGTGGCAGTAGCGATTGTAGACATGAAAGACGGAAATGGAGGAGACAGGGGCGAAGATGCTAGTTGGGCAGATATTTCCGATCGTGAGAGAGATCTAGATCTGCGATTTGTAGACGCAATCGGTGCGCAGTTGTTGTGCTCATTCAGCATCTGTACAGACATAGCGGTATTATGGATGTCGTATTGGACGTCATGAAAATAAACGGCTTTTGGACCTGCCACCTGCGCAAACGCCCTTTTCAGGCACTTGTTAGAATTGGGAGTCAGAGTATGGTGGCTCGAAGACATGATGGCCGGGGAAATTGAGTGGTTTGTAACTGAGACCATCGCGGGAGGGAGTCGAGTATGCGGGTAGCAGGACATTGAAGGGATTCAGGTTGAGAGAGAGAAAAGCAGAAACGGTTTGAGTCTGACATGACACGGCCGTCGATGCAACCCCTGATCACCACGGAAACCGTTTGAAACAAAAGAGAGGAGATAAAGCTGGATCATAGCGCCGAAGGGCACCAAAGAAAACGGGAAAGACAACAACAATCCATGAACCAGCCGATATGCGGAGAAGGGCTACGACAAAACCAAAATGACAGACAGACAGGGAGAATAACCAGAGACCCTGACTTACAGTGTATTCTATTTATTATCCTAACAGACGCAAAACCCCAGTAAACCACCTTTTCCCTCCTCTCACCAGCTAAGTAGCAATCACACAACTTAACTCAGACTAGCAGCGGATCCAGATATGCCATTAGGCTATGTTGTGTATATGGGTTGTCAATGTGTGTCGTTTAAAATTTTGCCCTTGCTCTCTTCAGTTACAAATCAAGTAAACAACTTTCCAGGAGGGCACCCGTTCTGAGCTTCTGAATCGGGACGGATAGCGGCTTGCTTGACAGAAATCAGGGGGGTTGGATTCAAGCGACTTGAAGGGATATCCAGGATGGATTGCTGAATAGTCGAATTGCCGAAAGGGTCGCGATATAAACCTCGGGACAAGTCGTTTCCGCCCGGGAAAGACTCGAAACAGGATGGGGAGCCGGTAAAGTCAGATGAAAGGAAAGAAAGTAAAGTAAAAGGATAGGATGAAAATAAGCAGCGGAGCGTCGAGGAGAGAGACACAAGGAGAGGCAGATCAAAGGGAGGAGGCACGCAAGCTTAGAGTAAGGCTGGCGGGTGAAAGTGAGGGAATGCTTGGAAGAAACGAAGGAGTGTCAATGGGGGAGGCCAAACAGCCAGTGTCTGGGAGAAAAGGGGGCGACGAGAAGAGAAGAGAAAGTGTGTAGAGAAGCAGGAGGAGGAGGAGGAGGAGGATGATGGTGATGGTGGTGGTGGTGGTGATGGTTGGTGATGATGTTGTTGTGGAGGAGAAGAAGAGAGGAGACGAGGGAGCGAGAAAGATGGAAGGAGAGAAGTTCCATCGTACCGCCGATACCGTATATTATAATACGTGGTGCTAGACAGCGAAGGGTAACCTTTGGACGGATGGAGCAGGACCCATTGCTGCACAGAGCCAACCACAGCCCGCTCTGGCGGGTCTGGGCGGGGTTCCATACCTCATGTTTCCAAGCCGCACGTTGTTACCAGACCAATACCTGGACCGGATCCCTGCCCCAGAGCACTAGATCTGGTATTGTCAGCCGCGGGTAAATTACAGCAGGGCTGCCCTGGCCGCTACCATCACGTGCGCAGCCAGCAACGTAGTACCCTGTCCTGGTGCGAATTCCCTCAGTCGTCCAAATGCACAGAATCCAGGGAAGAACCCAGGGAATCAGGCTGGATCAGTCACAACATCCCCAGAAAACAGATTTTATTTTACTATCTATATCTACCGAAGCAAATACCGATACGATCAGGAAGCATCTAGAAATCCATTGAATGATCAGTCCACGGGTCTCAGTGGTCTGACAGAACTGGCATCTTCCAGCCAATCAGACCCCGGAGCTTCGTAGCCGCCGGAACGATTTCTCGGTGGCCAATCACCGCTCTCCACCTCACCCAGAAGCTAACCCAGGCTTGGCGGCGCTGGCTGCGGTCATAGCTGTTCTATTTTTAGCCGCCCACCGGTTCTGCCTCTTGTGGAGGAAAAGTGGGAGGAATCCGACAAGCTCCCACGGAGAGACACACCATTCAACAACAGAATAATAATAAGAAGAAGAAGGCGCCAGGTCGTCCATGTTCACGCTCTGCGAAATTCCGTTCACCTGTTCACGGAGAGCTGATTAGAGGGGGTCTAGATAATGAAGGTCAATCATAACACGTCCTCTATATAATTTCCCACAACGCATTCGTCCAGCTTGTCCCTTCGTAATTAAATACACCCTCCCCGGGTGGCTCGAAATCAGATCGGTTCTCCGTATGGGGAAAAAAAAAGGAGGAGGAAAAAATAGAAAAAAATAGAAAAAGTAAACCCAAAATTTCTTGCCCCTCCACGAATTAGCCGGGAGTGTGGCTTTCATTGAGAGCCGAAGAAGGAATGGTTCGCGCATGAAAGAAACAAGGTCTGCAATTCCCACTACGGACTGCACTATTATTATTGCTCTGCGTTTCAGTTTCATGTTTCAGAAACGCATACCCCGTTTTTTCTTTTTCCTGCTCTGCCAAAACCCTCTTAGGTCAGCCTTGCCGGATTCCAGAACGGACCTCTCGTGAGAGAGAAGAAGGGGGAGGGATAAAAGATTTGTTTCTTTTTGAAAAAAAAAAAAAAAAAAAGAAACCCGAAATAGTGGATTTTGTATTCCCAGCTCCTCCGCCGTTACCCCAATGCTCAACGAATTATGACGTTTCGGTTTGCTGCCTTACTTCCCATCTTTCCATGATTTTCTTTTGCGTTTCCAAGCGCAAAGATCAGGGAAGAGGGTTTGATCAGCGTTTGCAAATCGGGATTTGTTTCAGCGCAGTTTTCCGGACCTCAACTGATCTTCACGTTAGTTCTCTGGGCGAATTGCTGTCATCTCATTATCCATTTATTGTATTCTATCGCCAGCCATGTTGTTGTGTAAGCTGTAATGTGGGCCTTGCTCTGTGTCTCGGATATTTTGATAAAAGACCCATATAAGTTGGTTGATATTAATTATCATTCCGTTCCCAATGTGGATTGCCGGGGGTGGGGAACATTTCTCACCGCCTCAGCTTTTTACAAAGTAAAAGGTTATGTTTATATGCTATCCATGACAATATTTATACCTCACAGTCGTTTTCTTTCTTGGAATGTAACTAATGATCATCATAACTAAGCATCATGGATGACTCTGCGGCACGGAGTACATGTGCCACATGTTGCTATCTTTCACTTTTAACAGGGAGGGAGGAAGCAAACATGTGCAATTAAGTTCTCTTAAAGCCGGATGTATATAGGGAAATATAATTGAGTTGTTTGGTTTCCACTCTCAAGCTTCCAAGTTGTGTAAGCTCCAAGATGGATTAGCTTAAACATCCTAATGGACCCTTGTATTACGTTCAATATTTGCAAGGTATCCTTCATTATTCGTAAGATCTGAACTCCCTAGCTTATGATATTGTATAGACATCCCCCGTTCATCCCCTGTAGTAATCGTCTAGCCTCGGGTGAGTGGGGGCCTTCGTCACACTGTCGCTAACTTGCATTCCGATATTTCTTCACTCCTCAAGACGACTTACTACTACTCCTCAACTAACTACAGGGACTAAATAAATAGACTGCAAATGAAAAGAAGAAAAGGCCGAAGAATCAGCCTCAATGATATTTAAAAAAAAAAAAAAAAATCAGTCCTGGAATGCTTCCATTCCGCTATTAAATAGCCAGTTGCTGCTCTGACTCGGCTACCCACGTCTCCTGCACACCACATATTCATAGTACTGGTGGTGGGGGAGTTGCACGCAGCCTGCTGCTATATGGGAAAGCTACATGTATATAACTCATCGAAACTGCGGTTAGCCCGCTGCCTGGGTACGACTGGGTTCCCCTCCCCTTTTACTCCATGAAGGAATGGGGATGTTTATGTGGTTAAATTGCCCGCATCCATACGATTATTATTACATGCATGAGTGTTTGCCTGGGCACGAGCATGGACCCCCTATCTCGGCCATCCATCCAAAGATCTAATCCACGATAAGCGATTTTCAAACCTAGGTAACCCCCAACGACAGATCGCATCGCCTAACGTTTTTGACATTCTTTTTAGGGTAGAAAAGGTGTTCCATGGAAAGAACCGGGGGTTGATACTATTATCATCATCATCGTTCTTAAAGTCATATTGCTCTATCTTGGAAGAGCAGAACGAGGAAAAAAAACAAACCCCCATGGTGTCGCAAATTAGCATACATAACGACACTTTTTATCACACTTCATCCAGTTGTTCGACCGTGATAGAATCATCACGGTGCAAAATAGAATACAAGGCAGGAATGAAATGCAAGCACCCATCCCAAAGTTACGTCGCCAAGCCCGCAAAAATACACCCATTCCGTACAGTACATACCACGGCGATAAAACCAAACCAATGCATGGACCGTAAATGAGTAATACATGCCACTGAAAAAAAAACCTTGGCAGCTTAGCAACTTATCTTGGAAAGGGGGGGGGGAACATCCAAAAATAGAATCGAGGGCAAACCCTGGAACGCCCCGGTACCAGCGTAATGAAGTACGCTGTATTATTGGATCCACTGGAACTTGGAAGCCCCGTTCTTGATCAACAAGCCTCATACATGACTCGAGATAAACTTTGGCCTCGTTTGAAATCTGAAACAGCCCTTTTTTTTTTTTTTTTTCTTTTGGGAAGAATATTGATTGCCGGTGCGGGGAGAAGGGGGAAAGGGAAAGGTGAAAAAGCATCGGTTAAAGTAAAACTCTGTTTGAGGCTCCCACAGATTTTTTGATAATAGGCAGAAAAGAATTTTTCCATTCATTATTTGCATTCATTATTTCTATTTACCATATTTGCTGTGAACAATTTAGATACCATATTTCCGGATGAGGCAAATTTCAGCTCCCGCTGGAACCAGCTATTCTAATAATGACTACTCTGGTTTCTAAGTTCTTCAAAAATCTTAGGTCTACAGAAACAAATGGATGCGATGAACTTTCCTCAAGGCAGAATTAAGATCCGTGAGCAGATTAAATAATTTGCGATCCTGCAAATACAGATCATGATAAAAAATTGATGACCCATAAATAAGATGTTACAGAAAAGAAAAAGAGTCCTCCCGACAAGGAGGTGAGAAGAGTGCTGGAGGCCACTCTTCTAAATCGAACCGAAGCTTTTTCTAATTGGAACTGAATCATAGCGCTCTGCTCTGTCTCATTTTTATGGAAGAGGCAATATCGAGGCAACCTACCAGCTTAGGAATCAATTTTTTTTTTAAAAAAAAAAAAAATAAAATAAAATAATCACAGATTTTTACTCTTTAACAATATATCTACCATCGGAAGGCATAATCCCACTGCTAAAACGCGAGTAAAGAGAAGTGGTAGATGAAGGAAAGGAATTATCCTTAGATTTCTCGCCGTAACCTGTCAAGTTTTCTTGAACTATTTTTCAATTTGCTAGGGGTCCTTCCTTCCTCTACCTTCATCTTAGATTTTCAACAATAACTTAATCACATACTATCCAATCATATTTGGCAATATAGCTCGCCATATAGCTCTAAATAATAATAATAATAATAATAACAATGATAATAGTGGTAGTTCCCCCTGACCCTTAATTAATAGCGAACGCATTACATAGCTGTGATGTCATGGCCTGGGTCATGACGGTAATCGCGCTTATAACTAGTAGTTAGCCGCTCGGGAAGGGTAAAATCTATTATTAGGATTTCGGTCCTTCCATTCAACGAAGTCAACGATTGAGATTAACCTTCCACTGTTACCTAAATTTCCAAAAGTTTGTTTAAGTTAACCCCAAGTTAAGCTTAAGCTCCGTTCAAGATTAATTTCCTTTTGATTAGTTACGGGACTTTCCATTGTAAATAGTTGTAGCATATGGGCTTGGGCGAAACTATGGAACCATGATCGAAGTACTAGATAGGATGGGACTTTTAATTTTATTAATTTAATTTTAGTTTAAATTTCATTGATTAATTATTTTTGTGTTAGAAGAAGATCCACGATACCTGCATCTAAGAGCTGTGTTTAGAGTGGTTACATGTAACAGAGCCAGATTTACATACATTATATTGACGGGTTAAGAAACGGCTTTGGGAGGGAAACTTTGCTTGAATGCCGCTCGTAGTTTTGAAAGTGCAAAATGATATTCCTCCTTCAGACGTGCATGGAGTGCATTCCCCTTCTTGTGGGTTCAGAGGGAGAGAACGATTTTGTCTTTTTGCTCGGGCGGTTGGGGGTGTGGACTCCGGCAGTTATAGTCATATGCAGATTGTGGAAGTAGGCCGGGGTGGCGGAAGGGATGAAGTGTTCTGTCTATAACTTTCGATGAAAAAAAGGAAGAGAAACTAGACGCAATAACTCTCTCGATATCGCTGCTTAATCAGAGTGCTCTGGCGTAGTTATGGGCGTTACCACAGCCATAACTGCTATAGTGCATGCTGATATCATTCCTCACTGCTGGAGGAGCTGCGATGGGCATGAACAACTAACTGTCTGACGCAATTCGCTATAGAAGTCGAGAATAATAGAAGACAACGCTGATTGATTAATAGAAGCTCAAAGGTTTTTGTGCTGGAAAATCAGAAAATGCACCGACGGTTTGCCGAAGCCTTGTAGTCAGTGAGGATCAATTTCAAGAAAAATGTTAGTTCAAGCAGATCAAGCACGTTTAAACGGATCCTCAATGCTCATCCCGGAAAATGAGATGATGCTATTTGTGACGTGATCTAAGGCTCTCAACTTCCACATTCAAGGGTCTCAATCCCCGCATGTTAAGCTGATAAAGGGTTGATAGGGTAAATAGTGATAAGATTGTTGTATGCGGGCCGTATCCTGTTTACATAGCTCAAGCTACAACGAAGCAGGTAGCTGCTAAGCAGATTAACAGGCCGATGAGATGGATATTGGAAGAATGGTTCCGTCCAATGACATAATCTTGGCTGCTGAGAATTTATGGGAAATGGTTATTCGAGGCTTTATAATATCTCTCTCTTCAATGGATGGACTCGTTGCTCGCTTTCATTTTTCTATTTCTTTGTTTGTGCTCTACGCCCAATGGTGTTAAAACAGCACAGCTGTCCAGGGACACCTGGGTTACCAACCGTGGAGTCGTAGTTATTGAAAGGAAGGATCGAGGGTTGAGAGTCGAGTAGAACTCCCAGCCGTACTTCTTGGAGTTACAGTCCTCTTTGATATATCCCAAGAGAATGACTGGTGGTAGGTGACCACCGCTGTAATGTCAGGGACACGTGGTTCTGGTCATTCTTGGGACGATTGGCAATGATATGGCCACGCCGTGAGGTCTCACTCGATCGCTTTGATGTGATTTCTTGCCTATGAAGATAATAATAATAGTATGACAAACAGCGGGGGTGACGACGGTGAGTTCGAACGGGCGGTATCTTGATCCCGTTCTTGTACATAATAAGTAACTTCCTGGGAAGCCGTTCCGAATTTTGACCCTGTGTGATATATATGAGCGAGGTGCAATTAACTCATGGATATATGTTCCAGGATCTTTGGAGAATTTCATTTTTGCCCATATTGTGTCTCATTCCCTTCGGGACTGAGAAAGAACATGGGAACTGAAGTTCAAGAACTGAATGTCATCACTTGGATCATGACAACCCATAAACAACTGGTTAGTTTTCTCTGTGATCCACGCTTGGGCCCTTCCCCTTTTCTAGAACGAAAGAAGCAGGAGTTTCAAAAACAAGCCAGAAGCTCCAAGAACTGAGACCGATCAACGATCAACTCGAAGGTAATTGGGGGTTTCAACGAATGAAAGTATGGAGGACACGCAGACAGGCGGATAGCCGTTGTTCCAAAAGCCGCTGGAGGTTTCACCAGAATGCCAGTGGCTATTAAAGGAGGACAAGGCGGGGAGAGATCGACAGGATAGATAAGAAAAGGAATCCTCCTGTTTTTCTTGGTCTTTTTCCTATCTGTCGCACAAAAATGTTTCCCGGCCTGGAGGCTGGCGATTAACCGAATGAGAGATGGGAACTTGGAAGCTAACATGTTTGATATGACACGCAGCTCAAGCTGGCGCTGTTGCTTTTTGGCGCCACGCCAGAATGTCAGAGAGGGGCGTTTTGCATGCCGATGCGATGCGCAGCCAATTGGCAATCAATGAGGGACCGTGTTGTTCAAAATCGGTGAAATCCGCGATTGTGGAGGATCTACTCTTTCCACACGCTGTCTGTGACTTCCTGGAAGAAGAATGGCTGTTGATGCTTGGAATAATGTTTAAGCCCAAGCAGGAGTGAAGCTTGAAATAATTGGAGGCTGGGTCGTTTATCTTTCTTCGAGTTGAAATCTTGCTAAAATGCTTTAGCGCTTAGGGGGGAAGCAGGTTATTTTAGCCTGAAGTCTGAGGAGGAAGAGGAGGAGGAGGACGAGGAAGAAAGGGGCTTTCAGGGGTTTGACGTCCCAGGATGCGAAGAAAGTCTTCTGTTCTCCTGCAAAGGATTTTGGGTATAGGGATGGGAGATGTTTGATGGGATGACGATTGCTTCTGTAGATGTAAAACTGCGAGTACTCTCCAGGCGTAGTTCTGGATGGAATCCGTCTATTTGAGACCAATCGGACATTAGAGCAACCAGCGTCGTTGCGAATGAGACCAGCCAAAGTCAAGCGATTGTCAGACGGGGGCGCCACGGCATGAGCAACGGATGAATACCACCAGATACATGGAGCCCCATATTTCGAGTTGTGTTCGAGGAAGTCCTTCACAAGTATCTGTCCCATCTTCGTCTAGATGCCATCCCTCTATCGTGCCAACAGTTCATCCGCTGCATTTTTCATTCCACCTCCCGCCCATCTCGGAGTATTTCTGGCATTTTTTTTTTAAAACTTATAACTTCCCTAGTCATTTGTTGTTTTCCTCTTACTCGGATACTCACTCTTAGTTACTCCATCTTTGTTTTACTGGATGTTTCCGTCCAGCATGCTCTGACATCCATTTCCCCCCTTGCAACCTCCCTATCTCCAACCCCAACCCCAGCCGTCCCGCCAGGCCCACGCGATGCGCCTGAACGCAGTTTCATCCAACTCCAACTCCACCTCGACTCTTACTGTGACCGAGCCTGCTAATAATGAAAATGACAAAGAATGGGTGCGCTCTCGCAGGCTGACTGATCCGTTGACCAGCCAGCCTGCAAAGGCGCCGCTTACAGACCGTCGTTCGTCGGATTCTGCCGCTCGTCTTCTCCAGACTCCGAAATCCACCTCCAACTTGGCCGTCTATACGGGCAACAACAGCAGCAATTCCTGCGCCATCAGCTCTGACAGTCTATCTGACCCTTCCCTTGCCTGCTTCTCGCCACGCAAAATAAATGCCCTGAAGCCTCCGACACGAACCACGCCAACCAGCATCCCTACGCTACTAATACAGACACCCCGGGCACAGACCACCCGTGACCTACATGAATTATCTCCAGCGTCTGCCAACAATAATTCCGCAGCCTCTTCCACCACTCCTCCAACCACCTCCTCTTCCGCAACTTCACGTTCGCTAAAATCCCAACCCAGCCTCGAGCCAAAGTCTCCCCATCAGAAAAGGTCTCCCGCGTCTCGAAGTTCCTGCGGAATCGAAACGTCAACTGGTCCACCGCCCGCGCTTTCCACACAGCGCTCCCTGTCCTATGACAAATCCCGGCCCAATACAAAAGCATCAACAGCGACTTCGCTTCATAGACCAAGGTCTTTCGGAAGTACCGCAAGATCGAAAACAAAACCTCAACCTCCCGTCCGGCATCCAGCATTGATGAAGTCTTGAAACCAGACTCTTCTACTACGGCGACTGGCAAATTGCGACAGCGCTCATCTCTTCCAATTGGAACCAGTACAACTGCGACGGGGGGAAAAGCCAAAATGCCCCTCTCAGGGACTCGCCTGAGTGGAGGGTTTTTGGGTAGTAATAGTCGCGAACGGAAATATGCGATGGCCGGTAATGGAAATGCCGACACAAGCAGCAAGGAGTCTCTTGTTGAGGATGGCAAATCCAAAAACGAAGACATTTTTCTGAATATCGCCAGGGCGAACTCTCTGCGCCGCAGTTCAACAACAACAATGACAGAAAGGAAAAGGGTAAGCTCTGAGTTGCATTAACTGGATTTGTGTTTTGTGTTATTCGTTTACCGAGACCCGCCGTGTACATTTTTGTCTGTCTGCTTGAATCTTGATTTTTCTTTTCGTTTATTTCCTGTTCTCCGTCCAATTTCCCTGGTCTGGCTAACCAACGAAATTCAACAAGTCTAAATTTGGCCTCTCTGGCTTGTCTTCACGTACGAGTCGGGCCAATGAGGAGGTCCTTTCTCCACAAACTCCCCGATTCGACTCCGATCAGGTTACACCTTCACCGTCTCACGACGACTCTCCTTCCCTAGGACTTGGCTCCTCCTCACTTCGATCTCCTACCACGTCTCAACATCCAATCGATGAGAACAGTCGACTTCGATACTTCGGTGTTAGCACTAGATCATCGGTTGGGCTTCCTCGGAGCAGTCTCACTCGCGCAAGTCAGGAACCATCACCCGACTCGTCACCGAATCACATTGGAGAAAGACGAGCTTCCAATGCTCAGGAACAAATGCAAGGCCAGTCGCGGACATACCGACAGTCAAACCTATCAACGATGCGAAGTACCCTGAATTCCTCTGCGGCGGATGCTGTAGCGGAACAGTCCAGGTTGGAGGCGGAGAAGTCGAGATTGGATGGCACTGAATCCACCTTGTCTACCACCGCCCCATCTACTGTTTGGGATGAATTAGACGACTTGAAGTCGAGGATTCGAAAATTGGAACTGACGGGAAAATTACCGCCCTCATCTGCGGCAGCAATGTCTAGTGTCTCTGGTGAAAGGCCACGTACTGCAACGACGACAGTCACCACGCTTTCTTCTTCTCCGAAACACGGTCGAAAAACGACGTCTCCACCACTAGGGCAGGAATCAAGTACCGTAACAGATCAAATACACCCTTTACTCCACACTGCTTTAGCAAAAGCCAAACCTATACTGAATGCTGACGTATATCGCACTCTTGAAGCAACAACAACAGATGCGTTAACGTTGGCTGCTATTCTTAGCTCTACCGCTCCTCAACACGGAAGTGGTATGCCTGTTAATGGGGCTAGTACCTCAGATCGACAGATGCGACGAAAGGCGGACAGCTTGTGCAGGGGTTTGACAGAGCTATGTTTGGTATTGTCAGATCAGCAGCGGGAGTCCATATCGAAAACAAGAACAGGCAGCCCAGATCCGACAACTAGCCAGTACCAGAGAGATGGAGTGATGGATAGAGAGTCGATTACGCCAACTATTTCATATCGACGGAGCATCAGCCATGAACCAGAGGAACGCCACCACGGCCAGACACCAACGACGCGACTAGCAGCAGGCAGCCGTTTAGAAACACGACGAGCAAGCATTCTTAGTCTGAATTCCGGAGCTGCTTCCAGTCGAAATACCCAGGAAAACGCAAACCAGACTCAGCTTCCCACATCCACTCTTTCAACCCCTCCAAGCCGTCTCAATCGTACTTCTATAACACTACGCAGCCGGAGATTGCAAGGCGAAGAAGATTCTGAGGACAAATCGTCTGTTGTTTTCCGTCCAATTTCCCGAGCAATGACTGAAATCAACAGCGGAACATCTCGCTATTCACCTCGAGAACGACGGCGTTCACGCGAATATACTTCCAATCATCCACTCCCCGATCAACATGTATCACAGCAGATATCTCCACAGCAACATGCCGACCAAGCCCATCCAATCTCTCAAGCCCAATCAAATATCCCTATGCGCAGGAACTATGGTACCCCTGGTACAAGCCTTCCAACGACAACTCACACGAATATCCAGCCCGGATTCCGAAGATACGGCGCATCCTCTTTGAATACGGGAACCAAATCAGCGGATGCCTCTCCGGGTGACCACAATTCTGGGGCTTCTGGGTTGGGCACCAAACATACCGGTTTACTCCAGCTACGGTCAAGAACAAATAGCACAGGAATGCGCAGAATAGGCATTAGACACCGCCCATTCTCCTCTACTGATGGTGATAACGAGGACGATGAACTTGATTGATAGAGAGGGGCCCTCGTTTGCTGATGCTTTGTCGTTTTCAATGGCGTTTGGCATTCATCCCTGCGATTTCAGTTCCCATCGTTTATCGGAGTATGTGGGACATTTGGCTCCGCGCGGGCATTTCTCCGTCAACCCGCCTAGCTCACAGATTGTTTTGGCTTGATTCTCGCCTTCCTTTTTTTATCCACGCATACCATTCAAACGTTGATGACTTTTATCTTTTGCCTGTCTCATATTTATGTCAATTTCTTTCAACTCATCGCTTGGACGAGAATCCTTTTTCAGTCTTGATAATGACGCAATAAACGATGTCTTGGACCCTAACTTTCTCACCCCTTTTCCTTTTCCTTTCCTTTTCCTTTCTACTTTTCTCTGTTTTGTTTAATGATATTCGGAACGAGGGATGCAAAATACTCAAATCTTGCGCAGCAGCATGCGGACATGCGCTTTTCTTCTGGATACACCCCTTTGTCTCAGAGATGCATAGATATTGCGGCGAATTTTTTTTTAGTTGACTGATACTTTCTCCGAGGCCATGCCGAGAAGAACATTCCGTCGTCACGGTTGGTTTAGCCGCTAGTTTTTTTCAAGTTTTGTTCTTTTTCATCTTTTTTTTACTCTCTTTTTTCTTTACTGCATATTTCATATACAGATTTTTGATTGTTTCTCGTGTTTCCTTAGCATACCCCTGACTGCATAGTTTTATTCGTTGTGAGACGTACACCTCCGACTCAAGCCAAGTTGGGGCGGGAAATCATCGTTTTCATTGTATTCATTTTTTAGGTGGATAATGAAGAGATACCCAACCTATGATACTCGACGTTTACCTCTGCAATGATATCCCATTTGCACTGTGTGCCATGAACATAGCTATCAAGCCCCTGCTTCTCTTCAAATCTCCGTTTCACAATCTTGTGTTGTCCTACCTTAACTCATCTAAGTAATCAGCAACTCCTGCCCATACCGGTCCAGAAAGCCTTCCACGCATCTGATGAGCCTATCAACATCATCTTCAGTCGTCTCTATCGTCAAAGCCATGTAACCCCTCATAGCAAGATAAATGTGTTCGTCTAGCATATGGTGATAGAATAACGCCTGCCACACCTTCGCCTCGAACCCCGTAAACCGCACATTTATCAAGCTCCCATGCCCACTCACAAACATCCTCGGAAGTGCCTTGGCTTCCTTTCCCTGCCGCTCCCGATCAAAGGTATCAACCTCCACAATCCCATACGCTTCGCCAGCCTCTCCGCCCTGGCTTAGATGTTTACTTATAATCCTCCGATCAGCGAGCAAAGTCCAAATACCTTTTCTCAACCTATCTCCCAACCGATTGAGCACCCCGACTCTCTCCTTCGTATAAATCCCCAATGCCTCGAAGCCCGCCACCATTGTCAAGATGTTATTATTAAAAGTCCCCGCATGGCTCAGCCTCCCCTTTCCCTTCCTCTCCCCCGGATCAGCAGGCAGGTACAGCTCCATAATCTCCCGCCTACCCCCGAATGCACCAAAACTCATCCCACCACCAACCCATTTCCCCAACGTCATGATATCGGGCGTGATACCAAAAAGCCCCACACATAACCCCGCAGGCGCCAATCGGGACGTCATGACCTCATCAGCGATGAGGAGCGCGGAATGTTCGTCTGCAACCTGCCGCAGGAAACGGGCGAATTCTTTGGTGGCGGTGCGACAGCCACCCGCGCCCTGCATGGGCTCAAAGAGGATCGCAGCAAGGCTGCTACGTGGATGGAGTGAATTGACAATGGCCCTCGATGTTATTATACGGCGCGATGACGAAGTCATGGGGGAGATTAGTCGCTGCGGCGCTTGCGGTGCCGCCGCTGACCACTTTACTACCACCGCCATCATCATCACCACCATCGGCATCCGCGACGAGGGTAATAGGAAACGTAAGTGTTGCACCATGATACGCATTGCTGAAGACGAGAATTTTGCTCTTCGTTATAGTCTTCCTTGTCTCGTCATTCCCGTCCTTGTCATTACCGGTATTAACAAACGCCAGCGCCGTGGCAATCGCCATCGTATTTGCCTCTGTGCCCGAATTGGTAAATCGCACCATCTCCATCCCGGCCTCCTTGAAGCGGTCACACACACGCTCTGCAAAAGCGCTCTCATGTACACTGATGCCGCCAAAGTTCCAACCGCCTGCCATGGCTGCGGATACAGCATTGGAAATCCGTTCATTGGAGTGGCCGAAGAGACCCGCGCTATATTCACCTAGAAAATCGGTGTATGTATCTCCATCTAGGGAGGTGAGGGTGGCCTTGTGGCCAGAGGTGAAGGTGAGGGGGAATGGGGTGGAGAAGATGGAGGAGCGGGTGTTGCCGCCAGGAAGGTGTTTGATGGCTTCTTGGTGGGCGGCGTAGGATTTAGGGTTGCGGATTTTGTAGCGGGTATAGGAAGCTTGGAGGTTAGTGGTTAGTGGGGATGTCATTCTTTTTGGGTTCTATTATATTTTTATTTCTGTGATATTTTGGGGCGTTTATTTCTTTATCTCAGGATTATCGGGAAGTATATATGTTTTTCCAAGTAGTGGGATGAAAGATTATGGGTGTGCATCTCCATATAAATGATAAAGCATATACAAGGCAACTGAAAAATCGGGATGCGGGGAAGCTCTGCCGACATGCCGATCTCAAGCGCCAAGGTGAAGGTAGCGAGCGACTCAGTAAATAACCAAGTGATCAACATTATATATTTTTTGATGTAGATGATACCATTACCGGCCCCAATGAAAAAAGGAGGGGATCAATATGACCTCGGCTCCTTACCCGGAAGCATCGCTCTGGACATCTAGCAATCATCTTGCTATTATGACACTGATGCCATTGTATATGTACAAGTTGTTTTTTGACCTCCTAAACAGAGTGCAAGCCTCCAGAGGATATTAGCTCTGGTTCTAATGGCGACTCAAAGGGTAGACAAGTTGCCTGGCACCTCATGATGACAACGAAGGTTGGGTAAACAGTCGCGAACAGCAACCGGTTTGATATCAGAAACAATTTTGTTTCCTTTCAATTTTTTCGCTACAATCAGTTCATAGCTCTCCTCTTCGTTCTTTAGAAAGCGTGCGGCTCTGGATGAAGCCCTGTCAATAATCAGCCCATATGATTGTCTTGTAACATTCCGTTGTCGATTACGCTTAGGGGAAAGTTTATACAAGAAATACCACATTCTACTTTCGCCCAATGTCCTCCTTAGGTTTTCGTCGCCGGTGCGGAGGTGCACGTCTTGACCTGATTCTCATCCACGGTGCCTAGCATCTTTGCTTGTTCGTCGCAGTATCTTGCCATCAAAGTGTCTATTACAGAAAGGCCAGGTGGACTATGAGTCGTCCAATGTATATGAACAGAACGGAATTTCTAGATATCGGGTAAGGAAGAGTGGAATTGTCAGTTGACTTGATGGGTGGGGCAGCAGTTAACATCGACAGGACGAGGGGTAACGAAGGCAGCAATTCTCACAACTGTCATTGTCGAATGGTGGTTTGCAGATTTACTCTTTATCGCGATCATGTTGAAGAAGTCCTATATAAAACACATGCTTAGCGAAAAATAAATCAATTAGGGAAATAGAACGTTAAGGATGGCGCATCTAGCTGCTACGGGTCCCCCTGAAACGTGCTCTGCGCCCTAGTGCCCGGATCATTCAAGCATAACTGACCTGGCATTTTGTGTACGTTTTAAAATAGTAGGTCTTTTGTAAGCCCATCTGCTCTTCATCGAGAGACCAGTTACTGTCAAGTAGGGAGTTGGTCTCGGCTGCCAATTGCTTGGTTTCATCTGGAAGGGTAGATGCGTATCTGGGTTGGACGGCAGAGTTCAAGTTGGGGCTTGCCATGCTGAAATACCGTTGTCGAGAAACAGGATTTGTGCGCAGGCGAGAGTAAGCATATATAGATCGATAGACACGAGGTATCATGGTGGTCGAGTGGATTGAAACGGCTCTATTCTGCAGGAGGAGATGAACGCGGAGGAGTTGGAAGACAGAAGCGACGAACGCCGTGGAAGTAGCCCTAACAACCACTGATCCGGGCCGTGCAACCAAGAAACATCCTCGATGGTCTAGTGGTCATGATTTCCGCTTGTCATGAAAATGTCAAGCGCGGGAGACCAGGGTTCGATTCCCTGTCGGGGAGTTCTATTTTTTTTGGTTTTTTTTTTTTTTTCTTTTCCTGTTTCCTGTTTCCTTTCATTTGCATTTCTGCCTATATATTTGGCCTTAAATTATCCGCCGTTGCAGTCCCAAACGTTCTTCCTGGCCTATTTCTACCGACGGGCGAACGCCAGTTGTTTCCATCTGGACACCGATAACTGTTTGAAAAGATTTTGCTTGAAACTCTTCCGGACGCTATTTCTCTAATTACCGGAAATCTTCGGCGCTTAGGAGTCTACGGGCGTCGTACGGCGTTATTACGTCTGAAATCTTTCTATCAGGCGCTGTGTAATGGTTTGAAAACCACCGTGGTCTGAGGCCCTGCATCGACCAGATGACAGCCACCGAGCAATTTCCTGTTCGGGCATTCTGTTAATGTGTATATGTCTGGGGACGCGTCTCGATCTTGGAGAAGAATATCCTGGAGACTTTCTATCGAAATGCCTGATGATCCTTTGTTACCGTTGCAGGTCGAAGGAGGGAGCGGGTTATCTCGAGCGGCAAACAGAAAAACGGAAGTTATCTAAGCCATATGGATTTACAGTGGATATTCGATATGACTAAAACTTATCTCCACTACAAGTCAAAAGCTCAATTGCTCAAGAGCTTTAGACTACAGAGCATATCTACAGCTCTGAAGTGCAAGACCGCAGAGCAATAGGGAGATTCTGGCATGATTGTGGACAAGGTGGTCTCAGAGGGGTTTGAGCGAGTGAGCCCGGTGGAGAACAGGGAAAACGTGCAGAAGAATCAAATGACAAGGACGAATGGGTACACAATCAAATCACGGTTGCCGGATCGATACATCTCTTGAAATGTTTTCCAGCTGATACGATAGAAGCATTCGGAATAGGCTTATCCGTTTCCGCTGCGGTACATCCATATCACAGATTATTGAGCTAGAGCCGTCATCGAAATAATCCTGGCAATTGTTGATTATCCCAATACCCATAACAACAAATTCGCTCCTTGAGCTTGGTAATAACGGCAACAGTGAGTACATATGTTGGTAAAGCATGTTTTATTTTTAGAGTCTGTTCAAGCTTGCGACTCTGTGGCTTATCCCCTGCATCCAGACCTCTCCCTGATTGGGGGAGCGGAAAATACCCCAGATCCCCAGATTTATTTCATGTGGTTTAATTTACGATGTTTGACGCACGTCGGCAAATAATCCTATTGTGTGTCCTCAGGGACAACTTCTAATGTCGTGGGAGCGCGGACGATCCCAGGGCTCCATTGCGTCTTGAGTCAGTTCTTGCGCAAACCGCCGAAAGAAATGCGCCACAATGAATGTTACCTGGAATCAGGAGGATCCTCATGGGAGCATGTGAACTAGTGGAAAGCAATCAAATGGCCAGTTCTTGGCCCTCATTCGGCGGTGTTTGACCAGCCAATCCGGCGGCCTCGGTTTCTTCTGCCATGAATAATCTTGACAAGGGCTCTTAGTGACCGGCAGAGAACGGCATTGCGAAAGACAAATGGCTCCCTGGTTATGGAACGATTCGGTTATGTCCGAACGGGCCGATATGTCTAGACATTTGCTTGGCCTTGCCTTTCTTTTCACTTCCTATGCAGAACATCTTTGGTCCGTCCGACCACCATCCACAGGTCAGCAATTTTCTGTATTCGACATGCGCCAATTTGTATAGAGGATTGGAGTTCGGCACAGCAACAGCGTCACTACGAAGAGCCAAGTAAGTGGGGTCCTGTCTTGGGGAAGACGAGCATAAGATCTTTCCCTTGAGTAGTAGGAGAGAAATGTTTCTTGCATGCGACACTTCTTCTCACGAATCTCAGTTGCAGCCTCGACTGCTTTACTGCAGATGGGGATTGTGTCGGCAAGGATTATCCTTATCTCAAGATGCAACCCAGCTGCCACAGCCTTACCAATGTTTGGCCAACATTAAGATGGCGGGGTTAAACTTTTCATGCTGGATTATCACCGAGTATTTTAGTGCAGCCAGTCTCCGCAGAACTGCGGCCACTCCCCCTCCTATCAACACGCGAGGAAGAGGAAGTCGTTTTGGTCAAAAATATCTAGTAGGGATGCTAAATCATAGCCATTATCTTCTTAATTAGCTTACCTGCCTGGAGGTAGATAGTGAACAAGAAGATCGCAACAATTAGCAAAAGGCTTATATAACTCCAGTTAGCTTCTCATTTCTTCAATGAGCTTGATCGCTTCTATGTCTTCCCAACCATATCCTTTTAAGGAGTGGCATCATGGAGGGAACACATGCGGCCCTCCCAATGAAGCAGGTCTGTGATAACTGTCGCCGCCGTAAACTCAAATGCAACCGTTTGTGTCCTTGCAACAGATGCCAGGGTGCTCTTCTCCGTTGTACCTATACGGACATTTTACAGCGGAAGGGACCCAAATTTCGCACTTTTTACCCTCGTTCTTCTACAAGCTCTACTGGCGATGAATCTCCTCAGCCAAACCCCATCCCGACACCGCCAAACTCCATTATCCTAGGGGATTTTGACCCTAGTCTCGCCCAAACCGCTCATTCCTTTTTCTCACCAGGACCCATGATATCTCCCGATGACTCTGGCTGGGAGGATTTCCCTAAACCCCAATCGCCTCCTTCTCGTTTATCAGCTCCGGTTATAGTCGCTCATGTGAATGTGTATCTGAAATATTTATTCCCCATTATGCCTGTCTTCTCCCCAGCCCTAGTGCTAGCAGACAGCGGGGAACCAGAGCGCTTAAGTCCGCAGCGATATGCGTTCCTTGTCGCCCTGTGTGCAGCAACTCATATCCAACTGAAACTGGACGGACCTACGGACAACGGCCAGTCGGACGAAATATCAGGAGAGGACCTGTTGTCTGAAGCGCTAAGAGCACGGTCAGAGTATGACTTGATTGAGTCTCCAAGCATCGATAGTCTCCTTACATCGTTCTACCTATTTGCGTCATATGGCAATTTAGATAAACAAGACCATGCGTGGTATTATCTTTGCCAGGCTCTTTTCATGGCTCATACATTGGGTCTTCATCAAGAATCATCTTACCGTGCATTTGACCTTTTCGAAGCAGAAGAGAGACGGAGGGTATTCTGGTTGCTTTTCGTTACCGAAAGGTATGTTTTTGAAGTGAGCACACAATGATTTTTTTCTGAGGGAATCCTCTCAACTAAAACTTCAAATTTGCCAGGGCTTATGCACTCCAGCAAACCAAGCCGGTCATTTTAAGGAATTCAATACGAAAACCAGAAATCTTCAGCGGGGACGATCCTATCCTTGCATACGGATTTTTGAATCTTATCAACCTATTCGAAAAACTTACTCCGGACCTTTATGACTGGATTATTTTTGGCCAAGGAGATGAGCTATCTGGGCAGGCACTTGTCAATCTGACTTTACGCAATTTGAGTTATCCTATATCCCTAGAAGGGGTCTTGGAAACTCAGCAGGTTGACATTCTTGTCACCCAGCAATGGCTCCGGACAGCAATGTGGAGGCTTCCAACACAGCTGCCGCTAGATAAATCACCTCCGATACAAGATATTATCCCTCCACATGTCCCAATCAAGGCAGGAAAATTAGCGATGGAGGTTGTATGTGCAACGTCTCAAGCTGCGATAGATTCCCACGGGATCGGCATGGTCCGTCACCTCCGTCAACTCTTCCCGTACCTGCCTCGCTGAGGTTAGCTAACGGTACCGAACTTTCAGGAGCAAAAGCTCTTCGACTTCGGCACTTCCGTTGCTGATGCTACTCGCAGAATGCAGCCGGCACTCGCTACACGCATAGCTGCATCGATAACTGACACGAGAGAACTTCTCTGGGGAATTCTTATATCACTATCAAGGATTCGTGGATCCCAGTCACATTTGTTTCCCATTCTGATTGAACAATCGGGGGATATTTTGGGGTTTGAATCACCGACCCCATCAAGGACTTTACCATTTTCTCTAAGTGATGAAAAACGAGGTGCGACGGATGATCGATGGGATGACAATGAAGAGGGCCGTGCGATGGGGAAATCGAAAAACCAAATACGAAATCAACAATTACACGCCGCAACGGCCCAGAGTACATCTAGTACCTGCTCGAGCCCGAGCCAAATACCCGGAAAGATAGCCTTTAACGATTGCAATGCAATACAATAATTAGTGAACTTGTACTCTGTAGAGAGCGCTTCCGGGTTCTGTGGACTGCCAATCTCCGTTAAAATGGGAGATTTCATGATGGCTGAAATACTTATTGCCATCATCCACGCCTTGCCATTTGCCAACCTTCTGGGGTTGCTACTATATTTCGTTATGCAAAAGGCATCTTGTGCTAGTTCGGGGTAAGAATTTATTGTAATATAATGTCCATATTAGGGACCATTCCATTACTTGGACCACAGTGATGTGATATATTCGAGTAAAAGTGACTGACATTGTCGATTGTATATCAGACATGACCCCGTCGACCCATACGTAAACTTATACTCTCCAAATACTATTATGCATGATCTCCTATTCAGTTTGTTAATGAACAACCTTGACATGGCTCACAGTGAATATTCCTGGGATTGGTTTATCCCATGAAACACACACTGGTTTGATGGGCAATGTGGAAAAGTAGTCCATGATGCAAACGTCATGTGTCGTATAGCAATCTATGGGTTTTGTTGTTAAGTTATCCAGCTAGGTATTATGGACCGTCAAAACCATTTCTTAACTGGCTGTCGTATATAGTACTTCATGCTATCATTTGACATCGAAAGAAGAAAGAGTAACAAAGAAACCTAATATATTTTGAAAAATTCCCTTAATCGACATTCCCTCATACTTCTTCTTGGAAAGCATCCTTGACCCTGGTCGTCGAATTGCTATAATTCCTACTATGTTGTAATTCATAACGGACACTACTTTCCCCGTGTGCGGTGGCGTCGGGCCTCTTGATGCTGGGATGGTTGCCGCCGAAGCGCGCCCCTCTCTGTTGAGAGGATGATCGCGGAGTTTGCCTATCTTGAGGGTAGCCGAATTGGTCAATTGCACCGTTTTTGAGCAACCAATAATCACGAAGTCGGTCGAGGGCAGTTTTGAAATCATCGAGAATAACGGTATCGCAGAGACATTTAAACACAAAGGAAAGCTACATTGATGCAGTGCTATTAGTAGTGGTCTTTTGTCCTTCTTCTTTTCCTTCAGTGACTTAACTTTGGATTCGCAGGAAATTTTTGAAACTAACCTTCCAAAACGGATTAACGCCTGTGGGTAAGGCGCCCT